ATTTAATATTCATGAATTTAAATTGGGTATCAATACTTTTAGTGTTATAAAAGTTAAATTTATTTTAAAATAAATAAGTGACATGGAATGAAATACAATTAAAATAAATCATACATTTGATTGGTTAGGTATCGATACCCAATTAAATACAAATATACTGGATTGTTCACCATTTAAACCATTTCTTTATTTGATGTTTTTTAAAAAATTTATCAATTTCTTAAAAACAAATATGACTAAAAATCATTTCAAAAAAATACCAAATTAAACGGCCCTTAATCTAATTTTAAAATAGATTGTTTGACGACAAGTCTTGATACGCAGTTCATTGCATCTCTAGACTAGTAACAAGAATCGAATTTATGATTTTCGGCTTGAATTATCACTTCAGCCGGTGGTAGTATTAGATAAGGGTGATAAAAAGGGCATGATGAAATTTTCAACCAAACACCTCTAACTGATTAAGACGGATTAAAGATGGGGCAAGTTGATTTTTTTGAAATTTTTTACTCCACCGTATAATGAAAAAGAGACATTCTATACAATTCCGAAATTGCCTATCAAAAAATCGAAAATGCATTTTAAATTCGCACTCTATTTTATATAAAACAAATCAAATGTAGTTTCACTCTTCAAAATACAAAAAATAGTACCAAAGACATACTTCAGGTTCTAAACCGGAATTCTATTTCCGATTCTATTAGCGGAAAGAATGAATTTTATTGCCACCTTGACATTTCATATATAACCAGAAATATAATTCCGATTTTATGAACTAAATTGTATTGTAAAATTATGATGCAATTCAATAATGTTTTCTGGTTTATGTAAAGAATAAAATAAAAAATACACCTACAATTCCAAAATGTTTTTTGATTTCTATAAAGAATAAAACCGAAAATACACCTGCAATTCCAAACCGAAATTAAATTTTCCAATTTCTATATATACTTTATCAGATCTAGATACTCATCGAAAATATATTTCTGATTTTAAGAGGCATTTATAGAATTTCACATAACACGTAAGAAAGACATTGAGTGGGTTAAGAAATTCACCGTAATGTATAAAGGTATGTATGAGTAGGAATTTACAAAATATTTATTTTTCGATGATACGTTCAACTGTAACTTTATTTAAGTTTAACATCACAACTCACAATCAATATATCTATAACTTGTGAGTTGAGCCCAACACCAACATATAGTTAACATTTTCCCTTCAGCAACCAAATATACAAAAATGCATCCTTCAACTATAGTAAAATAATTTCTAATCCAAAGCTTTCCAATGTATTATGTATAATAATAAATTGAAGTTTAAACCAAAAACTGAAGTAAGCCAAGTCTTCAAATGACAACAGCTAGTTCGTCAATAGATTAAAAAGGAACAAGACATTGATATAGTTAAAGTGTCTTTCCCGGACTCATCATGGATTCTTGGTAAAGTAAGTTACCACCTCACCTATCTAGACATATAAAAAAAACTACACACAACATAGCAAATTACTAATCCAATTGTGACTGCAAAAGAGCACAACACTTCAAAATAAACCTCTAAGCAACCAGAGTGCTGGCAGTTGTTGATTCACTGCAAAAGTATATCATGAAAAGTTGTTAATAGACTGGAGTTATAGCAACAAAAAATGAAGATGTGGGCAAAACAAACATAAATGTATAATAAGCAAAGCATCAAATGGAACATATCATAATTATAACACTAATATTATCAGATATTTAACATCAGTAAAAAATCGTTCAAGGTATAAGAAAATATAGCTGGATCATTTGAACACTGGAACTGGAAGTTTGTTTTGCTCTACTTGCAATTATAAATAAACGTAATAGAAAAATAATAGAATCGGTGTCCAAACGGTGATGCCAATGTGCAAAAAGAATGTACCACTAACTGTATTGCTTATGCCTCACTCTTACACCATACTACACATACAAGTAAGCAAGTAACTACTCAAAGCAATGAAGATGGAAAGAACAACCAGATTAGGTTACTTACTACTTCCAGACAGGTGGGAGCTTCTTGGTCTTCTTGTAATAGCGAGCAAGACGATGGATTCTGCTCTCCACGAGAATCAACCTGAACTTAGAGTCCTTGTCCTTCCTGTTCCTCTCCAGATGCTTCCTAATTGAAACAGCCTTCTTGATCAAATGGTACAAATCCTCCGGAATTTCAGGTGCAAGCCCTGAAATCAATCCCAAAAACAAACTCAGCACCTAAAGAAAACGCGGTTATCATAAGTCTCATAAGTGATAATGCTACTAAATAAGTTAGAATTGATCAATTCAAACATGGCTATATTCTGAAATGAGAAATTGCAGTAAAATTTATTGCAAACAGAAAAGAACAAACCGTGAGCTTTGAGGATACGAAGGATTTTACTTCCAGTGATACTCCTAACCTGAGCAATTCCATGAGAATCACGAAGAATGACACCAATCTGAGAAGGAGTCAAACCCTTTTTCGCAAATTTACAAATAGTATCTTCCACCTAACAATCAAGTAAAAAAAATTACACTCTTATTAAACTTTAGAAAATCGATTATTACCGAAAAAAATGCAAACGTGAGAGAGATTTACATCTTGGGTGGTGATCTTTAACCAGCTTGGTGCTGTCCTCTTGTATGGTAAAGCAGAAGATGAAATACCCTTACTGAAACCAAAAATCGAAACGATAAGAAACAAAAAAATGGTGGTTGTTGAAGGACGAAACAAAATTGATGGCAAAAGAAGAATGAAAATGGGATTGGTGACGAACCCTCGACTGTGCATACGCCCCATGGTTGATCAAGGCTTGAGCTGCTCGCTTTGAAATTAGGGTTTTGTGAAAAACGCGATTTTTTTTTATACCAAGAAAAACTAAAAAGAAAAGAAAAACTATTTTTTTATTGCATTTCCTTTATATTTTAAGAAATTTTTCTAGTAATATTGATTTTCACTTCTAAAAATTTAAAAATATTCTTCGCATATTCATTTTTTTAAAATATTTTATAAATTTAGAATATTAGATAACTTTTAATATATATATATATATATATATATATATATATATATATATATTTAAAATAACTTATTAAAAATTTAAATGGGGTAACTTGCATATTCGAAGTCACTCAATATTTTAAATTTATTTTGAATTTATTTTAAAAAAATATTTATTTATAATATAATTAAATTGATTTATTATTAATAAAAAATAACATAAATTTATAATTAAATATTAAAATAAATTTATGATATAAAATTAAATAATAAATATAATAATTAAATTTTTAATTATAATAGTGAAATGTAATTGTCTTTTAGATATTTATGTAAAATTATGAATATTTTTTGATAAAAAATATAAAAAAAGTATTTTTTAATTGTAATTTTAAAAATTAAATTAAATTTAGATGAAATTTTTTAATTATTATTAGTGTGATATCGGTGCGTAATGGTGTGGTATGTACGATTTTGTTTTCAAAATACAATAAAAAAATAAAATGAAAAAAAAAAGATAAAAATGTCTAACCAAAATAATTTATTATTTTTGAAAGAAATAATAAATCAATTTTTATATTGTCTTTCGTATATCAAGATATTTTAATTAATAATATAATTATTCCTATATATAAATGATTTTGTTTTAAAATTATTTATAAAAATAATTAAATCGAAAATAAAGTTGTTGTTGTTATTATTCAATACTTAAATCAAGAGCTTAATATTAATACCATATGCGCGTATAAAGTTGTTGTCGTTATTATTTAATATTTAAATCAAGAGCTTAATATCAATACCATATGGGCGTATTATATCAATACATTTGTATTTGTATGAGTATTTGAGTGAAACAACACACTTTTATTTTTAAAATATAATAAAAATGTAAATAAAAAAAAATTGTTTTAACAAAAAAATTTATAATTTAAAAAAATCATATTTTTAAAAGAAAAAAATTGTTTCACTAAAAATATTTTACATCAATAATATATATTTATATTTTTCATATATTATCTTAAAAAATATTGTATTTTAAATTAAAAATAATTTTTAAATAAAATAATTAGTGATATAAATAATTATAAAATAATATATTTTGTGTATCATATAGTAGCTGTGTGTTCGCATAGATATTAATGTGATATGTTAAATTGTCATTAGTTATTTACAAATTTAAAGAAACAAGACATTGTGATAAAATAAAATAAAATCAAATAATTTATTAATTATTTTTAACTAAAATAGTTTATTATTTTTAAAAAAGATAATAAATTGGTATCTATAATTTCTTCCGTATATAAAAATATTTGAATTAACAATATGTTTATTTCTTTATATAAATATTTTTGTTTTGAAATTATGTATAAAAAATATTTAAATCAACAGTAAACTTGTTCTCATTATTATTCAATATTTTAATCAATAGCTTAATATCAGTACCATATGTGAATACTATATCAATATATGTGTTTGCACGAGTACTGAAGTGGGATACATGTTTTTGTCTTTAAAATGTAATAAAAATGTAAATAAAAAAAGTAAAATTGTTTTACTAAAAAAAATTATTATTTTTAAAAGAAATTTTAAATTCAGCTTTATATTCAAATATTTATAAATTAAAAATTATGTATTTATTTTGCATTTATTTCAAAATTAATTATCTTAAAATTATAAATAATTATCCATATGTTAAAACTAGTTTTGAAATGAAATGAATATTGGCAAGGCATTATGCTCAAACAGACTTTCTTTCGCATTATGTTGAAACTGATTATATGCCTTATGTTGAAACTGCATTATGTTGAAATTATATGTGAACTGAGTTATATTTAAATCTCAATTATGTGTCTTAGGTTGAAATTGTATTAATTGAACTGAAGCTGGTTATATGTGACCTCATAAATTTCTTAAAAATCTCTAGCATTCACATTTTAGTAACTATAATCAAACCATTATTAGTAAATGATTCTTTTCTATAAACATTAACTGATTTTCTTTAAAATCTCTAACATTCTCATTTTCAGTTAGTGCTATTAAGCCATTTTCACTTCGAGCATTAGTAAATCTCCAACATTCTCATTTTAACTCATTTTAATTAACTGCTATATCAGAACTGAAATTAACTGGTTTTCTTTAATATCAATTGACAACTTTTATTTTCACTTCATCCATTAGTAAATGATTCTCGTGTGTTATGGTATAGACAAATAGGCTCTGCAACATTGGTTTCTGTACGGATGCAATTCAAAACATTATATTGCAATACTGGTTTCATTAATTCATAGGACATAAAACACAACTTCATTTCAACACAATACAAGGACAAGCACTATAAAACAGAATCATGACATACAACACAATGACTTCAACCTAACTCCTTTTCGCTAATGTTAAATTACAACACAATTACTTTAACACAAACAACACATGTAACACCTCAATTCTATCCGACAATTATATAAAATCAGAATTACAAAAATTTGACAGTTGAATCAGGATACTACAAATTCAACTTTATTACATCGACATTCATTATATTATAGATACATAACATATTAAACTGGAATGAACCAACAACAACATAATTTAATTTTTTTTAAAAATCAATAACTTTCATAACTTCGCAGCGGAATCAAATATTCAACTTAAAAGAATATAACATCTTTATCCAACTGAAACAACTTCCAATAACAAGTATTTAACGAACAACAACTTAAAGTTCAATCAATTGAATTAAGAACAATAAAACAGCAATCGTTCATCCCCCGAGTGTTACGTATCAGAGCAATGACACTAACTCAAACTACTGAAGGTAAACCGCCTTCACTCTGAATTACCTGCATGTTACCAACATTGGGGTAACATTCAAACAGAAGGGGTGAAATATCGAACAATATAATCAAATATATGATAATATTACATTAGAATTAATCTATGCCAAATTACCGCTTCACAACTTTAAACAACGTCAATCACAACGAAAATATCAACGAAACATGACAAATAATTTACCAACACAACAACTCAATATGCAAAAATGCAACTTGTTACTATGCACATGCATGTGATACCAGCGGAGCAGAACTTCCAACTTAAAAATAGAGCAGAACTCTCAACTTAGAAATTACCAATTAATAAATGCATCAACAAGGCATAAGCCTTCAACTTCAACTTTTTGCCAATCCAGGTCAACTTGTTATGTTATGCATGCGACAACAACAACTACAACATCAATCATTCAACAACAACACAACAACAACAACAATTCAAATACAACTTTACAACAATTCAACAACAACTTTATAATAATTCAACACTGAGCATGTGCCTACAACTTAATAATTCAACTTAATTCAACATTGCCCATAAGCCTACAACTTAATAATTCAACTTAATTCAACATTGCCCATAAGCCTACAACTTAATAATTCAACATTGACTATAAGCCTACAACTTCATAATTTCCAATTATAGATGCAATATAACATAACTCATCACCCGCAACTTCAACAATTAATAACAACAACACAACAACTTACACATGTCAATAATATTATTAACACGATCCTACTAAAATACTTCTACTAAATTATTCTGCCGATAAGTCTTATTAATAGTTTTCCACTAAATTAGTGAAACTATTTTTTCCTGCCACTTAAGTCATCTCCACTGCTAACATAGTTTGGGTACTAATACTACTGTTATTTACTACTAATTCTGCAACTAAAACTATACCAATTATTAATTCTGCAATTTACTAATTATCCTTGCTAAATATATACTGCTATTACTTTCATATATCACTGCTACCAAGAATTTCTATTACACTATCTTCTAATTATTAATTTCTACTAACAACTCTGTTACTCATTAATATTACCTGCTATACTTAGGAAAATCTGCAAATTGTTCACTTCAGTTACTAATAAATAATATCTATTGTTATTCATCATTTTCTAACCCCGCTAAACCTTTTTCTGTAACGAACTACTAAGTAACAAAAACGCAATACAATCCCAGAACAATTAAAAGAAATACTGGTTAAGGGACTCATGTCCCTCGGCATGCAAACCGTTCCCCTCGGCACAGAACATGGTGTCGGTCGACACCCTTCATCAACACATGTGTGCCTCTCGGCACATGACCATAATTCCAATTGCAGTTCTGCAACTACGTCCAAATTTTCCTGCGACCAGTAACTCATTTCCTTCACATGATCTCAGACCAACACAACAACTATACTCACATCAACATATACAAATTTCTAACACTCGATTCATCAATTGAATCACTGCAATGTTAGCACAATTATCACAGATGCCAAATAACAATTTATCCATACAACAATTACACAACAACAATTTCACACAACTCAACTCCCACGTAACATGCATCATAAACCCAATTATAGAGTCAGAACCCCACCCTTACCTTGAATTAAAGATTGCTCTACAATTTTCTGATCGAATTCCGCTTTGCCTTTTTTCTTCTTTTCTGCAACTTCCACGTTCTCTTTCTCTCTTCCAACCCTTATTCCTCTTCTTCTTGACAAAAACCTATTTTTCTAGTATTATAACTAAACTCAATAATAATAGATTTTCTATTGGGCCTAATTTCTCACACCCCTTTAATACTTCTTCTATCACCAAAACAAGTCCAACAACTAATACAATTAATTTCTAACATTATTATTATTATTATTATTATTATTATTATTATTATTATTAATTAATTAATAATAACCTTAACAACTTATACCAACAATTCCCAACATCTCACAACTTCAACAAATAATC